GTTAATAAGTGAACAGGAGCTATGAGGAGGTGGGTTAATAAGTGAACAGGAGCTGTGAGGAGGTGGGTTAATAAGTGAACAGGAGCTGTGAGGAGGTGGGTTAATAAGTGAACAGGAGCTATGAGGAGGTGGGTTAATAAGTGAACAGGAGCTATGAGGAGGTGGGTTAATAAGTGAACAGGAGCTGTGAGGAGGTGGGTTAATAAGTGAACAGGAGCTGTGAGGAGGTGGGTAAATAAGTGAACAGGAACTGTGAGGAGGTGGGTTAATAAGTGAACAGGAGCTGTGAGGAGGTGGGTTAATAAGTGAACAGGAGCTGTGAGGAGGTGGGTTAATAAGTGAACAGGAGCTGTGAGGAGGTGGGTTAATAAGTGAACAGGAGCTGTGAGGAGGTGGGTTAATAAGTGAACAGGAGCTATGAGGAGGTGGGTTAATAAGTGAACAGGAGCTATGAGGAGGTGGGTTAATAAGTGAACAGGAGCTGTGAGGAGGTGGGTTAATAAGTGAACAGGAGCTGTGAGGAGGTGGGTTAATAAGTGAACAGGAGCTGTGAGGAGGTGGGTTAATAAGTGAACAGGAGCTATGATGAGGTGGGTTAATAAGTGAACAGGAGCTGTGAGGAGGTGGGTTAATAAGTGAACAGGAGCTGTGAGGAGGTGGGTTAATAAGTGAACAGGAGCTGTGAGGAGGTGGGTTAATAAGTGAACAGGAGCTGTGAGGAGGTGGGTTAATAAGTGAACAGGAGCTGTGAGGAGGTGGGTTAATAAGTGAACAGGAGCTGTGAGGAGGTGGGTTAATAAGTGAACAGGAGCTGTGAGGAGGTGGGTTAATAAGTGAACAGGAGCTGTGAGGAGGTGGGTTAATAAGTGAACAGGAGCTATGAGGAGGTGGGTTAATAAGTGAACAGGAGCTGTGAGGAGGTGGGTTAATAAGTGAACAGGAGCTATGAGGAGGTGGGTTAATAAGTGAACAGGAGCTGTGAGGAGGTGGGTTAATAAGTGAACAGGAGCTGTGAGGAGGTGGGTTAATAAGTGAACAGGAGATGTGAGGAGGTGGGTTAATAAGTGAACAGGAGCTATGAGGAGGTGGGTTAATAACTGAACAGGAGCTGTGAGGAGGTGGGTTAATAAGTGAACAGGAGCTATGAGGAGGTGGGTTAATAAGTGAACAGGAGCTGTGAGGAGGTGGGTTAATAAGTGAACAGGAGATGTGAGGAGGTGGGTTAATAAGTGAACAGGAGCTATGAGGAGGTGGGTTAATAACTGAACAGGAGCTGTGAGGAGGTGGGTTAATAAGTGAACAGGAGCTGTGAGGAGGTGGGTTAAGAAGTGAACAGGAGCTATGAGGAGGTGGGTTAATAAGTGAACAGGAGCTGTGAGGAGGTGGGTTAATAAGTGAACAGGAGCTGTGAGGAGGTGGGTTAATAAGTGAACAGGAGCTGTGAGGAGGTGGGTTAGTGAACAGGAGCTGTGAGGAGGTGGGTTAATAAGTGAACAGGAGCTATGAGGAGGTGGGTTAATAAGTGAACAGGAGCTGTGAGGAGGTGGGTTAATAAGTGAACAGGAGCTGTGATTCTGCCAGAAGGAAGGCCAGGGGCTTATGGCTCGAGAGCTCGGAACGACTGTCAGCGTAGATGCGCACACATTGAAAAGGAGTTGTTGGCCATAGTTTATGGTTGTGAGAAATATCACCAGTATGTGTACAGAAAGGTAATCATGATTGAAAGTGATCACAAGCCGTTAGAGAGTATATTTAAGAAGCCGCTGCATCAGGCTAACATGATATTACAAAGAATGCTTTTACGGCTACAGAGATACAATCCTGAAGGTGATGTACAAACCTGGTAAGGAACTATACATAGCAGATGCTCTAAGTCGTGCATATCTACATGAGGAGAAGGAAAATCTGCTGGAAGAGGATCTAGCAGTGAACTGGATTACGTCACAACTTCCTATTTCAGGAGAGAAACTGATGCTTTCAGAAAAGCAACAGCAGAGGATGCAGAGATGCAAATGTTATAAAAGGCAGTGCTGAATGGATGGGCGAAAGAACGATCCATGATACCAAGATCAATGCAGGACATATCGAGAGGAAATTAGTTATGAAGATGGTCTGTTATTGAAAGCAAATAAGCTGGGGTCAATCCAAATAAAGCCGTCAAAACAAAACAGGAACTAGAACAAACACTGACCTGAAGTGGTGTGACACAAACTAAGGAATCCGTAACAAATACTAAAACAGACAGGGTATTTATACACACAATCTAACAAGGTGATGGGAAACAGCTGAGTAATGAACTGATGAGTGACAGACAGAATGCTGGGAAATGAAGTCAAATGTGAAAGACACCGTGAGAACGAGGACCTCTAGTGACAAACAAGGGAAACACAACCAGACACTGTGACAGGTCATGCACAGTCTAATGGACAAGCCGAGAGAGCAGTGCAAACGGTAAAAAATCTCTTAAAGAAAGCGCAGAGTAGTCAATGTGATCCATACATATCATTACTGGAGTACCGTAACACGCCGATGGAAGGCATAGGATCATCACCTGCAGTATTACTGATGGGGAGACGGCTCAGGGCGAAGCGACCAACATCTGCGTTGCTCACCACCGAGACAATGATGCAAGTGCATGAGCAACTTAAAGGGATAGTTCACTTTGAAATGAATTTTTGATATGTTTTAGCTTACCTCAAGAGCATCCAAGATGTAGGTGTCTTTGTTTCCGCAGTAGTTTCAATTTTGATATTTTTAGGTCAAACCGTTCTTGTCTGTCAGTCATATAATGCAGGTCTATGGTCGCCACCTCAAGTCCAAATTAAACATGATTTAATGACTCGTAAATGTAAGTACACATTGATGGCCTAAGACACGAAACGAGCGGTTTGTGTGAGAAAACGAACAGTATTTATATCGTTTTTACCTCTTGTAAACACAGCCACGTCCAAGTGATCTGACGGCGCCGGCGCTTCGGTCTTTTCCGGAAAGCGCCGGGAGTGATCTCTCGCACGTGTACGTCACTCATACAAATATTTTTTTTTTTTTTTTTTTTTTTACGACGGTTTAAACATCCCGGATAAGCGCAAATTAGTGCCATTTTAAATAGCTGTCTTACCTACAATCTCTGCTCTGTGTAAACAATGAGTGACGTACACGCGCGAGAGATCACTTCCAGACCGAAGCGCCGGCGCCGGCAGATCACTTGGACGTGGCTGTGGTTACAAGAGGTAAAAACGATATAAATACTGTTCGTTTTCTCACACAAACCGCTCGTTTCGTGTCTTAGGCCATCAATGTGTACTTACATTTACGAGTCATTAAATCATGTTTAATTTGGACTTCTCTGTGCATGCTCTTTGAGGTGGTGACCATAGACCTGCATTATATGACTGACAGACAAGAACGGTTTGACCTAAAAATATCAAAATTGAAACTACTGCGGAAACAAAGACACCTACATCTTGGATGCTCTTGAGGTAAGCTAAAACGCACCAAAAATTTATTTCAAAGTGAACTATCCCTTTAAGCAGAGACAGAAGAAACAGAAGCAGTTCTACGACAGGATGGCTAACACTTACCTGATCTGCAACCTGGAGGAGAAGGAATAAGAATGAGAACGGGAGATTCATGGAAGCCAGCTGTGGTTCTGGAAAAGCATTATGTTCTTTTATAGTAAAGACTCCTGATGGAAAGCTGTTCAGACGAAATCGCAGGCATTTAAGAAACACAAGAGAAACAGACTCTTCAACATTTGAGAAAAGCGTTGACATTAATACTGATAGTCAGCAGTCGCTTGATGCATCACAGAGCATTGCACTTGACAGTAAGGACATTTCAAATGAAAGAAATGGTAATGAAAGCGTAGAGAAAGAGCAAGCTTACCGTACAAGGTCCGGAAGAATGGTAAAAATACCTGGGAAATACAAAGACTGAGAATAATACAATGTAGGTGCATTGTTGGTTGGATAATGGGTTGAAATGCTATTGTTTATGAGTATAAATGCATTTCTGAAAATGTGTTGAATAATGTTGTAGTTATCCTGAAAGTTTGGTAAATGAAACTCAAATGTTGTGTTTAATTAAAGGTTTGTGCTGCAGTTCTAGGCATCAGTATAAAGGAATATACTCAAGAAGGGGGATGTAACGTATTAGATATGTTATGAGGTTATGTGGTCATCTGATATAATGACATCCAGAGTCACGTGTGTATGTTTTGGTACTGGAGTATAATAAAGTAATGTGATGACACAGAGTCTGACGTTCGGCTGTCTAAAGAACAGAACATGGGGAAGCCAGCTTATTGATCCTACATGAGATGTGCAGATGTAAGTGAATAACTGTTGTGTTATTGCGTTCAGATATCTGATGTTTGGGATGTTCTAGACAGATATTTCAACTAAATGTACAGCTAATAAAGGCTCCAATAAAATTAACAGCTAATTTTTAGCTTACAGATAAATAAATAAATATTAAAGCTGATGATATAATATTTCCTTCAGCTGAGATGGACACTGTTTGTCATGATGGCTTTGAATTGCTTGAAATATGATTTTAATCACTTCAAAAAAAGGAAAAATACAGTTCAGTGCAACATGTGCTTCACAAGTCTGTCATATAGGCAGGCTACATACAATTATAATAAGAACGTTATAATTGTGTGCTTGGGACATTGCTCTTAATGGTGAGACTTTTGTTTTTTTAATAAGGATCTCAAGTATTATATAAAAATTTGGATATAGATTTATCAGCCAATATATCGGTTATCGGCCAAAATGTTCATATCAGTGTTACTTACTTTTGAGACTGCAAATAAATCACTCCATTAAGCTGTGTCTATGATAGTCTGTGTTTATAATGAGCTATGCAATATTATTGTTAGGTATTATTTTTGTATTGAATTTTTTTTATTTTACATTATTCCTATTTGAATCAGGGCACTCCTGCAAGAAAGGAGAGCTGCTTTAGCACGGGCTGTCAGCTGACCAGCGGTTGGCCAATCACAGACCAGCTGGTGACGTAGCCGAGGCTGTAAACATGTACAGTATAAACACACGACTGTCAGCTCCTGGACTCAGACAGTCAGCATGGACAGAGTAAGTCTTCTCACTTCATTATTGCTCACTGCTTGGGTTTGTTCTGTCTCACTGAACTCGTACTTTAATGTGTTTGTAACTATAGATGTGTCGCTGTTGTTACATCATCGCTGCCGTATTATTTTGCATAACAAGTCTGCTTGTTTTCAACATTTACTGAAGTTTACAAAGAAACTATTTAAAAGATTGAGACGGCTATTTCATTTGATGAAAACAAACATCATGCAAATAATAACTTGTAGTTGCACATCGAAAAGATAATAACGTAATAATAGTAAATGCTGAATTGTTTCTGCACCATTAGCTCCAGTTTACAAGCTGTCAATTCTGTTCCTGTCAGAAATACTGTGTCGTAGTTTTGATTAGTTCACTATTATTCTATTATTATATGGGAAATAGTCAGTGCTTTTCACTCAGTTTAATAAATGCTCTTATGGTGGCACTTTATACATTAGTTGAACTTCAAACAATATGATGAGGGATTTTGTCTTCATCTCTATAAAGGAGAATAGTGGAGGACTTTGGGACTCGGTGAAGAAAGCAGCTTTTGTCATCGGATCTGGGCTTTTCTTCCTGGTCGGGTTTAGAAACTCAGTGACATGGTGAGCAATTTTCATTTTCATGTCAGCCTTGCATTTCAAACCTTGCTGATCTGCTCCTTGTGCTTGATCTGTCCTGTATGCTTCTCTTCCAGCATTAATCATTAATGAGCTGCTTGTGTTTTGAAGGCATTTGCAGAGGTTTTGGGGAGCGTCTGGAGATTTCTGGCAGACACAGTGGACCAAGCTTCACCAAGCCACGGGTGGAAATGAGGCTGCCTTGTTTTTTATCGGTTAGAGATTTAGTAAAACTAGTTTTTAACCTTTATGCAGCTTACCCTCTGGACACTGATTATGAAATGTTCACGCATCTGTTGTTCTAGACTGAACCGTCTGCCTTTAAAGTACAAAAAATAACACATAGATCTTTGTTGGTGTCAGTCTGGACCTGGAAAAGTTCACTTAAATAGAAACATTTAGGCAAAAACCACTGTATTCTGCATCAAGACATTTTATTTAATGAAATTTTCCAAATAATGCAAAGAGTTCAAAGTGGTTTCTGCCCAAACGTGAATCGTGGGTTAATCCTGCATGTTGTCTGGTGTTGAACAGGGACGATGTTGGTGCCGACGCTCTCGTTCTGGCTGTTTAACGCCCTGCTGATGCTGGTCGACACGACGGGGAAGCCCAGCTTCATCACACGCTACAGGATTCAGCCGGACAAAAACAATCCGGTACCGTCCTGTTTAAACTCTCTGAATCATTACTGTTTCAAACGGTACGGGATTCATCCTAGGGCTGTCACCATCACTCCATTTGTAAAAATCCTCCATTGCAATTGACCAATTGGAAAATGCCACAAGTGACGTACATGAAAAAAAACATTCTTGCATTATTAGAGCATTTTATACAAGGGCTGCCCTATATATTGAAATAAATTTAAAATGATTGTTGGCTTAGTGTGATGATCAAATCATAAAGGCTGTGATTTCCTGAAATAAAGTCATGCGCTGCGTGTTTCAGAGTGTTTCACAGTGAGCGGCTCATGTTTTCAGACGCTCGATTCACTGGAAATCATAAACTCTGCTCAGAGGTTGATGTGCAATTGGAAACGCAACATACGCTACTAATTTGACCAGATTTGTAAAGACAAGCGTTTATAAACACGTTGCAAACACAGGAGAAGCTTTAAGGACTCTGAGGATTTCTGTCAAAATAAAAGCTTGATGGTTTAACGTTTGAGAAATATATTAAGGCGTTAATATTAGTATTGTAATTTTACAATTGCACTATAAAATAAAATAAATGTATTAAGTAGAGTTCATGATGTGACATCATGACGTAATGATTTAAAATTAAATTTAGAGTAATTTGGATAATGTTCATCCATATTACATGTATGTTTTAGGGACGATATATTGGCCACCATATCAATTTCAGCCGATATATGTTTATTTTTAATGTTATTGTCTCAATAAGAAAATTTGGCCGGTATATTAAAGCTGGTAAATAATATTTCCTTCTGCTGAGACACTTCAGATGTGAACTGTTCGCCATGATGGCTTTAAATTGCTTGAAATATGATTGAAATCACTTCACAAAAGGAGAATACAGGAAAGTGCAACATGTGCAGCGCCAGGCTGTCGTATAAGCTACGTAACATTATCATGAGAACATTATTATAATTGTGTGCTTGGGACATGGATTTTAATGGTGAAACTTTAGTTTTTGGATTCAGGCTCTCAAAAATTATATAACATTTTTGGTTTAGATTTATCAGCCAATATATCGGTTATCAGCTTTCAAATATAAAGAGTAATCGGTTTCGGCCAACATTTTCATATCGGTGCATCCCTTTTATGTTTACAGTATTGTTTAATAAAACCATAAGGTTACTTACCTTTGAGACTGTATGGATCCAACTATTAATAACCAAAAATATCCAATTGCTCGATTAATCATCACAATAATTGGTCAATTACTTGATTACAACAATAATGGATAGTGGCAGCCCTAGTATAAAGTTGAAAAGTCACAAACCCAGATTTCACTCATTAGTTCTTGCTGAGGCTGGGAGATTTATTCACACAATTATTTTGCTGATATTGCACTGATTTTAATGCATTTACTATTTGACCAGTAAGTCTTTTAAAAACCTTGTCATTAGAGAAATTGCATGATCCTTCCTTATTTTGTGACTCACTACTAATAATTCAGACATGTTTCAATAGCATCTCTGATGTAAACATGAAAAGGCAAAAATGCAGGAAAAAATTTGTTAGACTTAGTCATTTTTATGTATTTCTTTAGACTTATGTTTCAGTGAATCAATTCAAAACTCTTAATTAAGTTATTCATTTGCAGCACCGCTTAAAGATGTTAAGGGTGTATTAGTAATATATCTGCAAATATTGCTATGTATTGATATATTAGAGTAAATATTCTTCTTTCGGTGTAAACCACGGCTCGGTGTTCGACTGTATTTCTGTTCTGTACCTCAGTCCAAATGCAGTTGAATGAAAATATTGGCCTGTAAAGTGATAACTTTCCGTACTGATAACAATTTTAGCACGCATTGCATAAATTTAGATTACACAGCATATATAATCTTAAAATATCAGTCGTAAACACTTGCATGTTTCGATTATGTAGTGTATAATAATAATAATGCCTGGCTGTTAAAGCAAAGAGAGAAGCTCAATAATACCCTGTTTATGATAAAGTTCAGAGTTCACTGATGACAGTCTCAGTCATATGAAGCAACAGGTTTTTAAAAGTCTGATAATAATAATCTGTACAGGAATCCTCTGAGTGTTTTCAGATTATGCTTTACCCTTGAGTAACCTCTACTTTAGAGAGATAAGTAACAACTACATGTCAACTAATGAGTTGGTAGAATAAGTTGACATGTATCAAAGAGTAAAGGTGATCATACACAGGGCAACTTTTTGAGCAATGTTGCTGGGCAATGTTGCCGTCAACGGGCAACCAGATGAGACACAGGGCCCACGACCGATCTAAATTATCCAGATAGAAATGTATTGCCCATTTTCAATGGGAAAGTGCCCAAGCAACAATCGCTCGGCAAGATTGCCCAGCAACATTGCTCAAAAAGTTGCCCTGTGTATCATCACCTTAAGGGCCCTATTACACACCAGCAGGGGCGGCGCCAGATAATTTTGAACGCAGGTGCTGAGGGGGTGCTAGATCATTGACAGGGGGAGCTGCGCAATTAGCCTATATATATATATATAGCCTATATATATATACACACACACACACACACACACACACACACACACACACTATTATTTAAATGAGCAAAATTTATGATGAGATGTGCTCCAGTTCACGTGCAATGCAATCGCGCCCGCGCTTCCTAAATCATATTGTCAGCTTTATTTGCTTCTTATTTAGGCTATTATACCCAGTCAATTGGTTGATGAAAAATTTATTAAAATTAAGATACAATTTATACAAAACGAAATTCACTTTAACAAAACAAAACTTTCTTGCTTTCTACAGAACAAAACTTAATTTATACTTAACATAAAAAAAAATAAAAAAAAATCCTTTTCCTTTAAATCCTTGCTTGTCTGGCTTATGCTACTCCGAGCAATGTCCGAACTTGGTATTTTGAGCACTTCTTGCGTTGTCTTTGCCTTTTCACGATGACTCGCTTGGTTCAGTCCTTCGGATAAAAGCGTCTGCTAAAATAAATGACTAAATGTAAATGTGTAAATGTAAATTTAGTGGTCAAAATCATGTCTGACCCATCATATCTTCCGATATATCGCGCATCTTAGCCTACTCATGCTGTTCAATTTTCATAATCAGCATAGATGTAAAAAAAAAAACATTATAATATTTTAACAAAAATGAAATTAAATGCGCTTATTTAATGGCTACGACACACATATGTGCCTGACTCTCTTAATATTGAAACAATTAACATTAACAATGCTGAAGTGCAGTTAATTAGTAGTAAATGTTAACTAATCTAATTAAGTGTTACCGATTTTTTTATACACCGATTCAGAGGTCTCGTGAGTTCAGTGTTGGACAGGTCAGTTGTTTTAACTATTCATTAGTGAATGGCTAAAATGAGTCATTCGTTTGCGTATCGGACATGTCATTAGTGGACGTCGACGGCACGCTTGTGTGATCTCGGCAGTTTAGGACATCGCACAAGATTTGCGTCAATACAGAAAACATATCACAGGATAGGTTTTTTCGTTTATTGAAATGGGGTTTAGGTCAGCTGAATGGGCGGAACGCTTTTTAGAGATGATAAGCTAGGCAACGTGTTTTTTTAGCACAATTCACACACCGCGGTAATTCAGGAGAACAAATCTCCAAATGCTCCACGTGAAACTGCGGTCTTCCGACCTTTTACTATCGTGTCAATTGATTTTGATTAATATGCGCGAGAAGTGTTTGAAGACGTGAGAGTGCGCGCGGCCGGGGCTCTCTCTCTCTCTCTCTCTGCTCGTGATGCGCACGGTCAAGCGCAGCAGTCATTCTATTCTACATCACTCACCGATCGGCGGGACAAAAATTTGCCGTTATTATGTCGAAATACCGAGATATTATATTGAAATAACGACTTAATATCTCGAAATAACATATATTTGAATATAATTGATTCCAGACATTATTTTGGGGGGTGCTATCGGGGTGCTTTGGTCTTTCTTGGGGGAGCTGAAGCACCTGCTAGCCCCTCCCTAGCGCCGCCCATGCACACCAGGCGCGACGCAAGTGTGTTTTGCTAGTTTCAGCCCGAAGCAGTTTTCATTGTTACGACATGCGCCGTTGTTTAAATAGTCAAGTCAAGTCAAGTCACATTTATTTATATAGCGCTTTTCACAATACAGATTGCATCAAAGCAGCTTCACAGTGATAACATGAAAGTAGTACAACACAGTTCAATAATATTGTTGAATATTAAATATCCCCAACTAAGCAAGCCAAAAGCAAGGCGACAGTGGCAAGGAACCAAAACTCCATCAGATTGGATGGAGAAAAAAACCTTGGGAGAACCCAGGCTAGTCAGGGGCCAGTTCTCCTCTGGCTAACAATCATAGCTTTACAGTAAGTCCATATCAGAGAGTACCTGGAAAAAATACATTTAGTTAATCATGTAATATTTAGGGGATAACATATCGCCGGCGTTGAGTCGTCTCTTCGCAGGCGTTGAGTCGTCTCTTCACAGGCGTTGGTCTTCTCATCACAGGCGTTGAGGCATCCGAAATCCCCGTGAGAGGCAGGATACCAAACTGGAGCCTACGAACGCCATTTTTCTCGGGACAAGCGTCCCGAGATAACAGCAGAAAGGCAGATGGGAAATAATTAGCATAGCTGATGTTCATAATGATTTCCATTACACGGGAGTAGGTGTTAGAAAACCATAATCTCACAACTCTCCGTAACCCAAACTCTCCGCAACCATACATATAGCAAATGCATTAGTGCTGATCTGTGGCGCATGGGCTGCTGGTCTGAGAGCGAGTGTGTGTTCAGCCGCATTGATGGAGCGTTGCTGTTATGAGGAACTGAAATACACTGAGCCGTTGACCAACAATAACCCGGTCTAAAGTCAATGGCGTGATAGTTTATTTGTTATTTAAAGAGCGCGTTAGTAATATTAGTGCACAATGTGCTACACTCTGCTTATTAAACATACACACACACACACTGCTTATTACACACACAAGCATGCCAAAGTTTCAAAATAAATGATTACAATGTAAGAGACTATAATAGTGTACAAAAAGATATGGTGAATCAGGCTTTTCTCGTAGATGGTCTCGCTTTAACCTCACAAACACACACACACACACACACACACACACACACACACACACACACACACACACACACACACACACACACACACAGCTTTAACCTCGCGCATGAGCAGATCCGTTTCCTCGCTAGAGAAGCGTTCAGTCTTTCTGCTTGCTAATTCCTCCATGTAAACAGCGAATCCGCCATGCGAGCGCAACTGGCTTTTAAAGCAAATGAGAGATGAGACTCTGATTGGTTTATTTCACGTTACGCCCAAAACACACCCATTACTCATTAAGAGAATAGAGACAACACACACCCATTACTCATTAAGAGAATAGAGACAACACACACCCATTACTCATTAAGAGAATAGAGACAACACACACCCATTACTCATTAAGAGAATTGGGACGACACTTTAAGACCAGCGCCGGGAGCGCCGACCATTTGCCCTGTCGCTAAACTAGCAGAAGTGGATTCGGACTCGCTGTGAGTGCGCTTGCACCGTGCGCTTTAGACCATGAGCTTAGAACCTTAAAATAGAGCCCTATATGTAACGAGGTTCAGTTGTTATGGGGAGAAGGAGGCGGGAACCGGCGAACATTCAACAAGTTTAATAACATAAAATAAAACAAATACAAAACGAAAGTATAAGCCAGCAGCCCCTCTCGGACGACTGCTGGCCACACACAACACAACATAAAATCCAGGCCTGGCCTCTCTCGATCTGCCCTGTCGTCGCTCCTCCTTTATGCCTCCGCTCCGCCGTGAGAGATACGAGACCGGTGCGTCTCACAGGTGTCGCTCATCATCACGCCAGCGGCCTCGCGCCGCTCTCTCTCGGCCTCGTCCTGCTCGCCACACTAGAGTCCTGGGAGATTATTGAAGTGTTGTTCAGAGCAACTCTGTGGGGTGTTTGCTGACATTTTTGAGATGTCCCGGGAACAGGGAAGGGTCCCAATGGCTTGGAAGGAGTCTATTATTGTTCCAGTGGCAAAGGGCAACTCTGCAGGCACATTAAATGACTTCAGACCAGTGGCATTGACTTCACTGGTCATGAAGTCATTTGAAAGGATAGTAAAGCGGCTTCTGCTGTTCAGGGTGGGTGGGGCCCTGGACCCCGGGCAATTTGCATATAGGGCTAGCAGAGGGGTAGAGGATGCCCAGATTACACTTTTAAATCTCCTTTACAGTCATTTAGAGGGTCCTGGTACACATGCCAGGCTATTGTTTTTAGATTTTTCTTCTGCTTTTAATACTATCCAGCCACATGTTTTAGTCAGTAAATTATTATCAGAATTTAATATTGAGAGTAATCTTGTGAGCTGGATTATGGATTTTTTAACAAATAGAACACAGCGAGTTAAGGTGAATGGTTGTCTTTCTGAAAGGCGTTTCTCTTCCACTGGCTCTCCGCAGGGTTGTGTACTTTCACCTCTACTATACATTCTCTACACTAACGATTGTAGGAGCCATTATAGCAATAGACACATCCTGAAATATGCTGATGATACAGTTATTGTCAGTTTACTGCAGAAACATGAATCTCAGCATGGGCCAGTGGTTGAAGAGTTTGTCAGTTGGTGCGACAGGTCTTTTCTCCAGCTTAACACCTCTAAAACCAAGGATATGCTCATAGATTTTAGGAGAAAACAACTTGGTTCTCCTCTACCCACCTATATAAAAGGAATCAGCATAGAGGTGGTAGAGCAGTATAAATATCTGGGTACTGTGATAGACAGTAAACTCAAATTTGATATAAACACAGAGATGATCTGCAAAAAGGGACAACAACGATTGTACTTCCTAAGGAAGCTTAACTCTTTTAATGTTGATAAGGTTATCATGTCTTTATTTTATAAATCTTTTATTGAATCTGTCCTTACTTTTGCTTTTATTGCCTGGTATGGGGGCATCAGCCTGAGGGAGAAAAATAACCTCAGCCATATTGTGAAGGTGGCTGGTAAGTTAATAGGCTGTCCACAGGTTTCCTTGACAAATATTTATGAGAGGCAGGTTATGAGGAAAGCAGATGCCATATTGGACTGTGTAAATCACCCCCTTCATTGTTCTTTTGAGGTCCTCCCCTCAGGTCGGAGATTTAGAGTCCCTTGTTTTAAGTCCAATAGGACAAAGAACTCCTTTATACCAAATGCAATTAGGTTGCTAAATTTGCACAATTCTTTGACCTAGATGAGTAGTAGTGTATAAGTTTTTAATTAGTAGTTTGTGTTGCTTAATTGTATGTGTATGTGGTGTTACCTGTATGTTTACCTGGCTGCAAGACAAGTTTCCCTTAGGGGACAATAAACTGAAACTGAACTGAACTGAACTGAGAGTCAGTAGAATGTCTGTTGCGGAGCATCAAAATAAAGTGTTAGCAACTCCAGTAAACTACATTTTGGAGGTATAATGAGTGTTTCCCGGCAGGTGGACGCGGGCCGGTTGCGTCATGCGGTGAAGACGGTGCTGTTTAACCAGGTGTGTCTGTCAGGGCCGGTGGTGGTTCTGGTCTACATGCTGATGCAGTGGCGCGGGGACCCGTGCGGCCCGGAGCTGCCCAGCTTCCACTGGGTCCTGCTGGAGCTGTCCGTCTGCGGCCTGATGGAGGAGGTGCTCTTCTACTACACACACAGGTCAGTCACATCATACTCTTCTACTACACACACACACACAGGTCTGTCACATCATACTCTTCTACTACACACACAGGTCTGTCACATCACTCTTCTACTACACACACAGGTCTGTCACATCATACTCTTCTACTACACACACACACACAGGTCTGTCACATCATACTCTTCTACTACACACACAGGTCTGTCACATCATACTCTTCTACTACACACACACACACAGGTCTGTCACATCATACTCTTCTACTACACACACAGGTCTGTCACATCATACTCTTCTACTACACACACAGGTCTGTCACATCATACAGCTCACAGCGGAATCAGTGGCTACATTTACACGCAACCAGATAATCCGTTAGTAATCGGACTGAAAAGCCCTCTAAAAAAAAAGCCCTCATATAAACACCTTAGTCGATGTGTTTGTGTGTGTGTGTGTGTGTGTGTGTGTGAGTGTGAGTGAGTTTAAACACCTTAATCGATCCGATTGAGCTCGTTCCGAATCAAATTTCGATGGTATTTAAAGGGGTGGTTTATTCCGTTTCTAATCCGATCGGGAAAACGTAAACATTTGATCAGATTGAAAACCGAAACTGAAAGGACTGCACATGGGCAATGGTGTAGAAATAGCCTAATGACGTAGAAATAGCATGATGACGTGTGATGTGCAGAACGGGCGTGTTCCTCCTGTTGAATAAAGTGTTGTATAAATGAGTTCATCCTATAATCCTCCTTTCACTGCGTGTGTGAAGTGGAGCAGGACAACGGCCCACCAGTGCTGGCTTCAGACTCTCATCCACACACGACTGGTTTTGGGCATTTCTACTGCGTGATCAATATCAGCAGCGGCACAACAGCTCATACACTCATGTCTCCAAATTATGACCAGAAATGGATAAATATTAAGTCTGCTGTTTAAAACAAATAAAGAACCAATGTAGGAGAATAGTTATAATGCGCAGACATCGGGAAACTGTATATTCGCGCATGTCAAACGATATATTCTGATTTGAAGCTTGTGATATAAACGCGCAGATTAACCCAATCACATGTTTCGAGCCCGGTGTGGCATGAACATCCAAGCTATAAAATCTTATGAATGTGTGCGGAGAGGACCAGCCTGCCGCATCACAAGCAGACTGCAAGGGGACACCCCTAGCCAAGGCAGCAGAGGAGGCGACCCCTCTGGTGGAGTGAGCCCTTAGACCCGTTGGCGAAGCTTGGCCGTACGCCTCATAGGCAAGAGCAATAGCATCCCTGACCCAATGTGACATAAGAACCATCTTTATGGTCAGAAGTTTGTCAGACGCTGACTCTAGAGGGTCAAACGGGGTCTCAACCAGACCCTCATGGACTATAGCTAAGTCCCACGAAGGACTCTTGGTTCTTACAGGAGGCCTCAGTCGTCTGGCCCCACCAGGGCCGGCTCTAACCCTTTGGTTGCCCTAGGCGATATTGAGTTTTGCGCCCCCCCCCCCCCCCCCCTTAAAAAAATTATAAGTATTTATTAAACTAAACATGCTCTTATAGTTACTCAAAAACTTAAACAATAAATTGTTCATACAAATGCTTCAAAGAACGTTCAACGATATTTATATCATAGTTGCATTGTACAACTATATTTTATCTGACCATAAATAACTTTTAGTAGATAAATTACAACTACTACCACCACTAGGCCTACTATTATTACAATCTATTGGGCTGCTACAAGGTTAAGGGGGTTTCTGGGGTATTTCCCCGTAAGAAAATTTTGTGCATTTTAATGTTAAATTCATCAATCTGGTGCACTTTGAGAGTTCAAAACTAAAAGCTCCAACCCATATTCAGTGTGCAAATTGAACAAAGAAAAATTCAAACCTCTTTTAATTACAGTGTCTGTCTATTACACTACTACATAATAATAGATATAATATTAATCCCATGACAGTAATTGCCATAGGCTATATTGTAAAACAAATGCACTGAAAAATAAAGGAAACTTTCATGAGTATTGTACAAATTTCTATACTTGAAAGTAAGTTATATATTTGGAAGTAACCCAGCGCCGCCAATTAAGAAAAACAAAACAAAACGAATGGGCCACCGATGTACGAGTTTTATGGGCCGTTAAGACAAAAATAGAAAAATAAAAGTATGAGATGTATGTATCGGCCCAAAAAGCACGTCGGGCCGCGGGAATCTCCCGGTTGTCCCGATGGCCAGAACATTTGACACCTTAATGGATGAGATGAGAAGACTTACCTCTATACTGGGCTTTCTTTTTATCTTGTTGCTTTCTCCGTTTCGTCCCTGTGCACCAGAGGGTTTAGACCGCTTCATTGTCGATCAGCGCGCGCAGCAGCCGAGCACTTGCCTAACGTAACCATAGAACGTAACGTAACGCAACTAACCCCCGCCCCCCCTTTAGGAAATGATCGACAATAATCATCCATTCAATCTAATAATCAGGTTGACAAGTAATTAAACGTATGGCTGAGGGGCGCCTTAGGATGATCATGTTTAATAAACATGTTTTTGTTTCGCTTGTCATTGTAATTCTATGATTAATGGGAAGTAGGCCAAGGGCGACACTAGAGGGCGCCCGCGCCCCCAACACATTTGTCGCCCTAGGCAACCGCCTAGTTCGCCTATAGCAATCGCCGGCCCTGGGCCCCACGAATGAAGCGAGCGAGCAGAGGATGTCTCCTGAGTGGCACCCCGTCCACCAAGGCATGGCAAGCCAAAAGAGCGGCCACATAAACCTTGAGAGTGGCGGAGCATGTGCCTGTTGATTATTTTTCCTGCAGGAAGTCCAGAACTGAAGCAATCTAGCAGTTGCCCGGATCTGCATTATGTACGACACACCACCTTTCAAAAACACCCCATTTGTTGGCATAACTCTTTCTAGTGGAAGAGGCCCTAGCACTTAGTATAGTCTCAATAACGGCAGGCAAAAGCCCAGTGTCCCTCAGTTGGTACCCATCAGGGGCCAAACATGAAGGATCCACAGGTCGGGCCTGGGACAGAAGGTCCCTCCTCTCCGGAATCGCCCATGGCGAGCCGTTGAGGGGAGATATTATCTCTGAGAACCATACTCTGTTCGGCCAACGCAGCGCTATCAGTAAGAGGCAAGACCCTTGTTGGCGAACTCTGGCAAGAACTCCCGGGAGCAGAGATACTAAAGGAAATGCATACAGGCGCATTTTGGGCCATGTGTGTGCCATCGCGTCCAGACCCAGGACAAAATACCATATGTAGATACGCAAATACAACGAGCACATTTAGCTCTGAACACAACATTGTTTTGGATGTTGAGTAAGTTTCGTCGGGAAATTGGCAATATGTGATAAAAGCCGACCAATGGGGTTGTGAATGTATCCCTGTGCCTTTAGGTTCAGACTAAATGTGGACCAGGACTAAACCAAACATTTATGATTCACAGCATGTTTTTTTTTCCCTACAAAATCTTTTCTGATGTATGTTTTTACACAGAGCAGTTTGTTTCAGGCATAACAAAACCGCAGTCGGTAGAGAAGAAAGAGTTTAGAGTGACAAAAACAATTTCACTTTTTGTGAATGTAGTTAAAATCCAGAAGCTTTTGTCCCGATAGCCACTAGCCAGTATGTATCACATTCATGAATATATCAGAATTTATATAAAAAATGTCCTGGCTCTTCCAAGCTTTATAATGGCAGTGAATGGCTGTTTTTGTTTTGAAGTCCATAAAAGTGCATCCATCCATCATAAAAGTGCATTTATCCATCATAAAAGTGCATCTATCCATCATAAAAGTGCATCTGTCCATCATAAAAGTGCATCTATCCATCATAAATGTGCATCTATCCATCATAAAAGTGCATCTATCCATCATAAAAGTGCATCTGTCCATCATAAATGTGCATCTATCCATCATAAAAGTGCATCTATCCATCATCAAAGTGCATCTATCCATCATAAAAGTGCATCTGTCCATCATAAAAGTGCATCTATCCATCATAAAAGTGCATATATCCATCATAAAAGTGCATCTGTCCATCATAAAAGTGCATCTGTCCATCATAAAAGTCCATCTGTCCATCATAAAAGTGCATCTATCCATCATAAAAGTGCATCTGTCCATCATAAAAGTGCATCTATCCATCATAAAAGTGCATCTGTCCATCATAAATGTGCATCTATCCATCTCTCGTATAAATGTGCATCTCTCGTTTATGCTCATCTTAATTATAATTTACTGTTTCAGGCTGGTTCACCATCCGTCGCTCTATAAGAGCATCCACAAGATTCACCACGAGTGGACGGCTCCGGTGGGAGTGGTGGCGCTCTACGCTCATCCGGTGGAGCATGTGGTAAGATCCGGCTCAGATGTGAACATGTGACCCGTACAGTGTGTGTGTGCTGAAAGCCCTTGATGTGTGTGTGCAGTTGTCCAACATGCTGCCGGCTCTGGCGGGTCCGGTTCTGCTCGGCTCACACGTCGCCACCACCAGCCTCTGGTTCACCGTGGCTCTGCTGGTGACCACCGTCTCTCACTGCGGGTACCACCTGCCCCTGCTGCCCTCGCCTGAGTTTCACGACTACCACCATCTCAAGTAAGTCCAGCGCTCAGGGTGTCCATCAAATGAAGGGAACATTCGTTTTGCCCTGATTTTGTTCGAAATGAAGTCAGACCAGTTCGTTCTTCGATTTGAAGTAAATCGGAGCCTTAAATAATAGGCTAACCTTGAAGGAGTAGTTCACTTCAAAATTTAAATTTCCTGATAATTTACTCTCCTCCTCCACGTCATCCAAGATATTCATGTCTGTCTTTCTTCAGTGGAAAAGAAATGAAGGTTTTTGAGGAAAACATTCCAAGATTTTTCTCCATATAGTGACTTCAATGGGGCCCAACGGGTTGAAGATCCAAATTGTCTAGCCAAACCATCGGCCATTTTGTAAAAAAAATAAGCATTTATATACTTTTTAACCACAAATGCTGGTCTAGCTCTAGCTGTGATGCGACACATTAGAAAGGTCACGCCTGACGTAGACGGATGTACTAAACTGTGTTTACAAAGCCAACATGCAAAGACTAAATCATTGTAATGTTTATAAATCCTGTATATTTGTTCACAGAAACGACCTAATTTCTACCTTATTACCTTACTAAGGGTTATAAGTAGTAATGCACCCATCATTCTTTTTACAAGTAAATTGGCGGATTCCAATATTCAGATTTTTTTTTTTTCTGCAAATGTATTTATTTAATTTATTTGTTTATCTTTGTGTCAGCAAATTTGTTTGTTGCTTAAACAAAAAAATGTGTAGCCATTTGAAATTAGTGGGAACCACTGCATTTTAATCATGATCCAAACAAAGATGCTGCACACATGTAACATGAGCAGTTGTTAAATCAATAAATTAGATTTTATAATTTTAAGATTTAAAGCAAAAATAGAGTGGTCTGAGTGTAGATTTGTGCAATGATGCTACATAAGACACTTAAACAGCAGACGGACTGAATGAAAATGCAAACTCACTCTCTGCCAGTAGGTGGCGCTTGTGGAACAGCAGCAGTGTCTCTGGTTCCCGCTATACAGCAGTTTACAGACTTCATAACATTTCCACACAAATTACATTTTAGGGAAATGATTGCAATGCAGTTTTTACACAAGTCCGGAATAGAGATCAGCAAAAATGAAACTGTTTTGGATTTATGGCCGGTCGACCGGTGCATCTGTAGTTATAAGCGTACTGGTAGTGTGCAGTAAGACGTGGTTTATGACTGTGAGATAGAGTTGATCTGTGCTGTTGTCCAATCAATGAGCCTTTCAACTATGCTCTACTTTCAACTCATGCAGTCAACTTTGTTCTCATGAGATAACCGGCAAACTCTGGAGAGCTGTTCAACTATCTATAGCTGTCCATGTGAGGATACATACATGCAAACTGGGGATGCATCATGTTACAGAGTCAAAACTCTCAATGTACTGCCCATTTTCTGTGATAAGATTAGCTAATTCTGTCCCCACCATATCACTCCATATCACAGAAGTTTGCAACCAACTTATTAGTTAATGATTGCCTCTTTATTTTTCATTTGCAAAAAATCTATCAGCCTTATGTGCTTTCTTTAACGTCAGTTAGGATGAGTGAGCCTAAAGTAAAATATGCACCATTTTGTAGTCCATTGCCCACACTGCATGGCTTCATAATGACAAGCTACGTATACCTACGGTTGCAGACTTACTCTAATGGGTTTCCAGCACAGGTGATTGCATAGAGGCTGCATATAGATTGTGATTATGTATATACAGTCAAACCTACATTTATTCAGACTCCTTCAGCATTTCCCACATTATCAGTTTATTCGCTATAGTTTAGACAATGGTGATAAACATGAGCAGAACTCAGTGGATATTTGACTGGTTTTGTCCGTCCTTCTGTTAGACTCTCACACATGAATTATGTTGAATATCTATCAGCTGTTCAATTTAACTACACAATTAGATAATACCAGTTTAGCTCAAACAGTGACCAAGCAATGCTTCATGTTGTTCAGTGTGTGTGTAAAAAGAGCATTAGCAGTTACAGAAAACACACTTCAGCAGAACATCATCAGCTCAAAGTGGAGGAATCATTATTGGTCACAATCTTTACTGGTAGTCACTGTATGAAGAATATTTGGGTATAATATGTCCCAGTTTACTTTATTTTGCTCTCCTCATTCACATAAATGAACACTAGTGTCCTGATCACACTAGTGAAAAAATATAACAAATTATATCTATTTTTGTTTTGACTGTATGTAATTTCTTTTGGTGTTCCACTGAAAAAGCAATGTTTTCTAGGAGGAAAACCGAAGGCAATAGATTAAACATGACGTGTCATGCTGGCATCTCCAGTTCGGCTAGGCCTACTACACAGTAAAACCTTTCTATTAAGCACAAGTCCTTGCTTGACCCCTGATTCTCTCCACCCGCAGGTTTAACCAGTGCTATGGAGTGCTGGGTGTGTTGGACAGGCTTCACGGGACAGACGACAAGTTCCGTGACTCAAAAGCATACGATCGGCACACTGTCCTGCTGGGTCTGACCCCGCTGAGCCAGAGCATCCCTGAACGCGCCAAGAAAGCGCAGGATTAACCAGAATCCACGTGTTAGACGTGTTCCTGTAGTCTCTGCAAGGCTACATGGCTGATGTTGGCAGTAAAACTCTTACGCAAGCAGTGTAATTGATCTGGAGTATGGACACACTCCTGCATTCAGTCTCACGGCATTAAGGTTCATTCAACCTAAAGCGCTTTACTAATACATGCAGGACTAAGCTAATTTACTGTATCTGAAGCTGCTCTAGTCGTTGTTTGGGATCAGGGTTCAAATGCTGTCAAATGACCGTGTGTCATGTAAAGATATGATCAATTCCTCTATACAGTCCTTTTTATTGCTCTTAATCTGTGTCTGAGTTCTCATATTGTCAGAATAGCTCCAACATTTATACAGTTGATAAATGATTTTAATACTTCTGATCAATGCTATATTTTAATACTGAAAATCTGGTGCTGGTTTCTTGGAACTGAACATGTTCATGACTGTACTGTAGTACACCTATTTATCTACTCTTTATGAGTTCAGTTTCTGGATTTTCTGATCAAAGATCACTCATTAAAACTAACCTGCTGCACTGGGTGTGTTTGCTTCATTAATAATTCTGATGCTCAGAGTAAAATAATGACACATGCTGTTCAATTTGTCCTCTGGAACCAAAGTATGCATGAAGAAATCCATTGTCATACAGGCCTGGACCCTCGATAAGGCCCAAAAAAATGAACAAGTCACCAGGGGACTTATTTATAAAATGTTGCGTAGAAACCCTCCAGCATTTGATCTACCAGATGTGAAATCTATAAATCGCAAATGATTATGCGCAGCTGAATGGTTACAGATCTCCGCTTTATAAACACCGCTGTATTAATGCCATTAACATATAAAAGAGCTCAAGTCAACGTCCAAATGCGTTACTTGAGAACGGCGCGCAGCAAGAAGAGGACTTTCTAAATACCTGCAGTTCTCCGACTCTCTTCCAGAAGGGAAAAGATAGTTTTCACGTCAAAGACTGACTTTATAAATCTGAACGTTGGTGTGGATTTTAGCGTACGCACACTCTTCAAATCTGTGTACGCATGTTTTGATGTTTAATTAAAACAATGATGCTAGAAAGATAACAGTTTTTTTGTCAAATTATTATGCAACATGTCCGCTATTAGTCCCAGTTTCATTATTAATCCAAATAGTTTTTAGTCTAAAACTCTAAACACGTGCAGCACACGCTGTGTCCTTCAGGCAGCGACTGAGGCCACGAACACACTCGCTAAATGTGTTCGTCACTTCGGGGCGGTTTCCCGGTCTGAGTTTAAATTAAGCCAGGAGCAGGCCTTAATCCAGAATAGTTCATCAAGACTTAAAAAAAGGCTTTCTTAAAACCCAGATTAAGTACAGATTACTAACACCTGGACTATGGAGTCCTGAACTAAAATAAACTAGGTTGATTTAAAACCACCTGTGCCGATCTGCATTAGCCGGATCGAGGTTGCCTATAAAACATCGAATGAACCATGAAAAGCTTAAAATTGTATGGAACTGAGAAGCAAATATAAAACAAAATAAAAAACAATGGCAGCAGAAAAGAGTGCTTATTCAATACAGATGAGCACACATCTACAAGAACAACACAACAACTTCTATAATGGAAAGCCGGTAACCTTTGGAGAACATACCAGATGATGAGCATCTAGATAGTTCTTAACTACGTTAAGTATATAAATACATTTCACTTTGCCTTTTCTTTCTCTCTCAAACTTTAATTTGCTTCTGTGTCATCAAACATCTTTCCATTAATCTGCATTTATTTGACCATATATATGAACTTGTCTTGTTTCAAGGAGAAAGGACAGAACTGAAGAGTTGCAAGGCAATTTACCCTCCACATCCTCAGAAGCAAGGGTGTATTGGTCACCCTAAGACCAGTACCGGTCACCCTAAGACCAGCACTGGTCACCCTAAGACCAGCACTGGTCACCCTAAGACCAGCACTGGTCACCCTAAGATCAGTACTGGTCACCCTAAAACCAGTACTGGTCACCCTAAGATCAGCACTGGTCACCCTAAGATCAGCACTGGTCACCCTAAGACCAGCACTGGTCACCCTAAGATCAGCACTGGTCACCCTAAGATCAGCACTGGTCACCCTAAGATCAGCACCGGTCACCCTAAGACCAGTACCGGTCACCCTAAGATCAGTACCGGTCACCCTAAGACCAGCACTGGTCACCCTAAGATCAGCACTGGTCACCCTAAGACCAGTACTGGTCACCCTAAGATCAGCACTGGTCACCCTAAGACCAGCACTGGTCACCCTAAGACCAGTACTGGTCACCCTAAGATCAGCACTGGTCACCCTAAGACCAGCACTGGTCACCCTAAGACCAGCACTGGTCACCCTAAGATCAGTACTGCTCACCCTAAAACCAGTACTGGTCACCCTAAGATCAGCACTGGTCACCCTAAGATCAGCACTGGTCACCCTAAGACCAGTACTGGTCACCCTAATATCAGCACTGGTCACCCTAAGATCAGCACTGGTCACCCTAAGATCAGCACTGGTCACCCTAAGACCAGTACCGGTCACCCTAAGATCAGTACCGGTCACCCTAAGACCAGCACTGGTCACCCTAAGATCAGCACTAGTCACCCTAAGATCAGCACTGGTCACCCTAAGATCAGCACTGGTCACCCTAAGATCAGTACGGGTCACCCTAGGTCACCCTAAGACCAGCACTGGTCACCCTAGGTCACCCTAAGACCAGCACTGGTCACCCTAAGATCAGTACGGGTCACCCTAAGATCAGCACTGGTCACCCTAGGTCACCCTAAGACCAGCACTGGTCACCCTAGGTCACCCTAAGACCAGCACTGGTCACCCTAAGATCAGCACTGGTCACCCTAAGATCAGCACTGGTCACCCTAAGATCAGTACTGGTCACCCTAAGATCAGTACCGGTCACCCTAAGAAAATATTCACTGTCCATAGGCTGGCTATTGAATTACATGAACATAAGTTGAAGTATCTTAAGGATGAGCATGAAATGAAGATAAAGATACTGCAAGTAGAACTGGAGATGAAGATGAAGGAGAGGTGCAGCAGCCTTAAATATCACATCAGTACATAAATCTGTGAAATAAACATTGTTTTATTAAGTCAAGTTGGATGTAATGGCTGTTTCTGTAACATACCAGGCCCTGAAAGTGACTCCGCCAAACACCAAACATGCACTCTACTAGACCCCTAGTGCGCTTATGAGCCTGCTTGTAGCACCATTGTTCTGCTGTTGTTGGGTGTAAGTATAGTGTAAACAAATAATTCTCCTGAGCATACCCACTGTCACCAAGCAATATTCCATGATGATCTCCTCTTTCAAACTAATTGTACAGAGATGAGTTGAGGAAAATACGGGAATCGTGAGTTGCACCTTTCCAACGTGGAACAATGTTTGAAAACTGCAATTGACCCTTCTCTAAGCCCCGCCCTCCCTAGTTACTGTTGCTACGCCTGTCAAGCTTTCGTGCCTGGCACGTCTATTACAGTGTGTATGCACCGGTGTCAGACATTCCCAATGAGATAATTAGTAAGTTTTGGCGAACATGTGAAATATCTGAGAGAGCAAGACAAAAGGGACTGCAGTATGCATTCGAGGGATATATCCACGACATAATATGCAACCGATTAAAGAATAATTTCATAAAAATTGAAGCTAGAGCCTATAGTCCCAGTGCAAGGCCTCATACACTGACAATTCAAATAGGAAACACACAAATTGAGGAACAGCTATGTTCGTGCACAGCAGGGTAAGTGATTTGAAAAATAATCTAATAATTATAAATCAAACAGGAAATAACTCTTGTGGAATAACACCGGGAGAGCCGCGGTCGGATTGGGTTAAAGTTAACGTTACTCAGTCAGGGGTAGTAGGCTGTTGATTAACAAAATGCTAAAATATATTTTAAAGTATGTCAGTGAGCCTCCATCTTGTCTTTAATCGTCTTATTTTACGTTAAAATATATGCATTATGAACAAAGAACCGTCATTATTTCCAACTTCCAAGCAATAGGTGTTTTTGTTAATCCTGTGGACATGTAGTTGTGAATGGGTCTCCACACTGCTTGATCACGCCCGGCGTTTCTCCCCTCGGCTTTTAGATTTTCGGGAAGGAAAAAAATTCCACTCCCCCGTCCAAACTTTTAGGATACCAGGTATCAGATTTGCACAATCCATACACACACCGCGTCGGCATGTTTCCCTCGCTCGAAAGTTTGCCAGACCTCCCGCGCTTAGTTACGGTTTCTAAGACACGATTGGCCAGTGGCGGTTTTCGGGCGTGGCTTAGCGAAGGGTCAATTGGGGCGTGCACACACCTTGGACATTTTTGGAAAACCAATTATTTCGGTTCCTGCATTCCTCAGCATCTGGAGTTGAGGAAAATGGGTTCAATCTATGCAACCCATGACTCCTGGGAAGTTCCCATATTCATACAGGTCCTTCTCAAAAAATTGTGATAAAGTTCATTATTTTCCATAATGTAATGCTAAAAAATAAACTTTCATATATTTTAGATTCATTGCACACCAACTGAAATATTTCAGGTCTTTTATTGTTTTAATACTGATGATTTTGGCATACAGCTCATGAAAACCCAAAATTCCTGTCTCAAAAAATTAGCATACCATGAAAAGGGTCTCTAAACGAGCTATTAACCTAATCATCTGAATCAACTAATTAACTCTAAACACCTGCAAAAGATTCCTGAGGCTTTTAAAAACTCCCAGCCTGTTTCATTACTCAAAACCGCAATCATGGGTAAGACTGCCGACCTGACTGCTGTCCAGAAGGCCATCATTGACACCCTCAAGCAAGAGGGTAAGACGGAAAGAAATTTCTGAACAAATAGGCTGTTCCCAGAGTGCTGTATCAAGGCACCTCAGTGGGAAGTCTGTGGGAAGGAAAATAGTGTGACAAAAAACGCTGCACAACGAGAAGAGGTGACCGGACCCTGAGGAAGATTGTGGAGAAGGACCGATTCCAGAGCTTGGGGGACCTGCGGAAGCAGTGGACTGAGTCTGGAGTAGAAACA